AGTCTACTCTTCTTCCAAAGAGGGTTTGGGACCCTCCCTGCCTGCTGCGGACTCTTAGATGGTAGGAGAGTGAGTCACCCAAAGAGGGGGGCGGGGGAGAAAGGAAAGTGGAAATACAAAGATGCCTTGAAAAGCTAATTTGGTTCACATTACATTTCAGTCACCTGAGGTTCATGAGTCAACATTTCAGATGATTCAGGCTTTCTGGGAGTCAGGAAGCCCAGTACTCATTGGTTTGATATGCAGGAATACGCATGACCACCATTCCACTTTTTCTGAGACAGGAGAGTTTAAAGAAAGTAGTTGCAGAACATGTAAGAATCAGGATCCTGGGCCGGGCGCGGTGGCTCCCGCCTGTAATCCAGCACTTTGGGAGGCCGAGGTAGGGGCGGATCACGAGGTCAGGAGTTCGAGACCAGCCTGACCAACATGGTGAAACCCTGTCTCTACTAAAAATAGAAAAATTAGCTGGGTGCGGTGGCGCGTGCCTGTAATCCCAGTTACTTAGGAGGATGGGGCAGAAGAATCGCTTGAACCCGGGAAGCGAAGGTTGTAGTGACTGAGATCATACCATTGCATTCCAGCGCTCCAGCCTGGGCGACAGAGCAAGACTCCGTCTCAAAAAAAAAAAAAAAATCAGGATCCTTTTGTCTTTCTGATTTACGTTTCAAAAATATTCTCTGCATGCCTACTCTGGAAGTCCTGGAGAGAAGAGGATACCTTGCTTTCAAGTTGCTGAAAGTCTGAATCAGTCCGTAGCCACAGGTAGCCAGTGACTAAGGTATCTGCCTTAATCTACTGATTGAACACTCAGAATGTATGTAGTTAGACTGAAATTAGATGTGCTGTAAGTGTAAAATGAGCACTGGATTTCAAGAATTAGTACCCCCAAAATGTAAAATATCTCACCTTTTATATTAATGTTGAAATTGATATTTTGAATACATTGGGATAAGTATAATATTACTAAATTAATTTCACTTGTTCTTTCTACAGCAGCTTCTGGAGTATTTTAAATACATAATGTTAATAATTAATAATTATTAATAATTAAAAAATGTTGATTGCCATGGGGAATCACTGGTTATTTCAGCAAATTCTTAGCTCCAACTAATTTACATTACTATAAGCTAATTTGGGTATCGGAAAAGTAGGAGTTGGAAGGAGGGATAAATAGGTGGAACACAGAAGATTTTGGGGACAGTGAAACTGTTCTATATTATCCTTTAATGGTGGAAACATTACGCATTTGACAAAACCCATAGGGCTATACAACAGAAAGAGTAAACCCTAATGTAGGCTATTGACTTTAGTTAATTATATATCAGTATCAATTCATCAGTTGTAACAAATGTACCACCTCAGTGCAATATATTAAGAATAGAAGAAACTGTGGTTAGGGGGCAGGAGTGGGAGTGTATGGGAACTCTGTACTTCCTGTTCATTTTTTCTGTAAACCTAAAACTGCTCTAAGAAATAAAGTTTATGAACCTTAAAAAAAGGCAAAGAATAATAAAGATTTCCTGATAATGTTACTTGATTAATTATCAACAATAGGTTCAAGACCTATCACATCAATTCCACAGATAACTGACTTTATGTGTACAAAATGTTTGTGACTTGCTTTAAGTTTGGTTTTATTTTTTGGAGGGGTTGGGAAGAGCAGGAAGAGAGACATATCGATGTAGAATTTTGGGGTGGGAGGTTAATACCAAATGAATTTAAACAAAACAATTTTCTACAATGATGACTACAAGAGACATATTTGAAGTGTTTGTCAAATATTTATCAAAAATTATCAAAAATGCATGATTTTCATCCAACTTCATACACATACAAAAATACACTAACCATATTTTATGTTTCAGCCTTTTTTGTTGTCCCAGTTTAGCTATCAGCAGTTCAGTCTTCCCTGTATGCATTTCCCGCTGTGACTGATCTGAAATTCCTTAATGATAAGTGTCACAGGGCTTTCATATAAGTCTAATATAAACAGGGCTTATGTTATTTGTAAGTTGCTTATATGATATTTCTGCATTCATATATCCCTATACCTAAAATTGTCTCAGGAGAGTATCTTTAATCAAAGTTTCACAAAAGAATAATTATAAAAATTAGTAGATTTACAATTTTAATAGTAAATAGCAGTTAATATTGATGCAATAATATAAGCACTATCCTCTGGTGCAGAATAAAAATTTATTAATCTCAGTGACTTCTAAAAAAATAAGTGTTTGATAGATAGATGAGTAAAGAGTTTGCCCAGCGTTCATAGGATGATTAACAAAGCAAAAAGAATGCTGCTGCTCTACCACAATTAAAAGTAAAGCTACTTATACATTATTGTAACTGATATGTATAGATATAAATATCACTGTCACTAACAAAATTCTGGTGGACATATGAACCAGTTAAAGGAAAAATGCACATTACAGATCTTAATAATAGTTTTAAAATAATTATTCAATGATTTATATTTGAAAATAGCTTATCGGCTGGGCATGATGGCTCACACCTGTAATCCCAGCACTTTGTGCAGCTGAGGCGGGTGGATCACTTGAGGTTGGAGTTTGAGACCAGTCTAGCCAACATGGTGAAACCCCATCCTACTGAAAATACCAAAACTAGCTGGGCATTGTGGTGCATGCATGTAACCCCAGCTACTCAGGAGGCTGAGGCAGGAGAATTGCTTGAACCTGGGAGGCGGAGATTGCAGTGAGCTGAGATCGCACCATTTTACTCCAGCCTGGGTGACAAGAGCCAAACTCCATCTCAAAAAAAAAAAAAAAGAAAAGAAAAGAAAATACCTTATCAGAAGTAGAAGATTAAAGTTTTCAGATACCACTGGTTAGTAGCTGTTCTCTCTGAGAACATTATAAGAGATCCAGGCTGGTAGAATCATAGAATCTTAGGGTTGGGAGAACTTTGGGAGGTCAGCTGGACCAATCTCCCTTCCATGATCATGGTCTCACTTACAAGCAAAAGCTAAATAATGTGTACACATGGACATAGAGTTTGGAATGATAGACAATGGAGACTCAGAAGAGTGAGGGGCAGGAGTGGGGTGTTAAGAAATTCCTTATGGGTACAATGTACATTAGTAGGATGAAGGATACACTAAAAGGGTGACTTCACTACAATACAATACATACATACAACAAAATTACACTGTCAAACCCCGTAAATTTATATAAATAAAAAATTTTAATAGTTAAAAAAAAAAAAAGAAATTCTTAAGAGTGCCAAAATGACGTTCAGTCTTTTTTAAATAGAAGTGGTGCTCTTGAACACAGGCAAGTCATTTTCCATAGGTGAAAAAGCTGTGGTTGACTGCTCTTGAAACAGGTGTGTCTGTAACCCACCTCTCGTCTTTATTCTCTTGCTGAACCATCCCTTTTGTCCTTTTCCTTTATACTTTATTGATTCATAAGAGAAATATTTGTTGGGTATACATTCTGCACCAGGCCCTGCTCAAGACTTTGAAGAATATAGCACTAAGCCAAACAGACACAAATGTGCTTGCATGTTTTCAGTAAGACACCTATTACTCAGAAATCACCCATTCCATTTCTATAGTATTATGCCTTATTTATAGAATGCTAAATTGACACCTAAGTTGGTATTTGTAAAATAAGTTAATTATACTTGCATTAGGTATGCCCCTCAAAAGAGTTAAAAGGCATAGCATGGGTATATTCTTGTCTACATATAGCAGGATGTGAACTCCAGACTGGGTTCAGTAAGAGAAGAAAAATGAGAGGTGGATTATAGACAAACCTGTTTCAATAGCAGTCAACCACAGGTTTTTCACTTCTGAAAATTACTTGCCTGTGTTCAGGAGCACCACTGAATGACATTCGACCTTTCTATTTA